TTACAAGCTCATAGTTGTTCAATCCTTGCTCTCTTTTTGAACTCAAGGTAAGATTTTGAACTCATTTTGGAAGTAGACTCGGAATTGTCTTTATTCTCACGAATTTGATGTGTGATTGTGTTTATTGTGTATCTTGATGTGGGTTATTGTGTTAATTGAAGTTGATGTGCTATTATATGTTGATATTGTCAAGTTTGGTTGAAGAACTTGGTTGAAGAGTTTTATCGAACACATGGTGGGCACCGTTGAATTCAAATTTCTCATTGATATGTGCTTGAATTGTGGTTTGAATTTGCTTTTGATGATTCGGTATGATGCTTTGATTATTATGTGAGTTGTTTAGAAGATGATGGAAGGAATTTGGTAGTAAAAGAGAACTATTTTGATCGGGATAGTATTGATGTTATATTTGGATGCAATTGTTGGTTGTTGAATTGGTATTGTTGTTTTGCCTCAGGATATGTCAAATCGGGGAGGACGAGGCCGTGGAAGAGGTTCGGATGCCAACCCTATTCCGGGGGCGGCTATACAACCGGCCGTGTTTGGCGTTCGATTGAAGTCGCACGAGGAGAGGGTACGGTGGAAAAAATCTTTCGAATTTGAGGATGGTGGCGACGAGATATATTGATGATGAGGCACTTGTTACTCTCGCCCTTTATGATGATGTGATCAAGTTGATTCGAAGGGCAGGGTGGGAGTATTTGATGACTCAGAAGTGGCCGACGTATGCCGGCCTTACATTGGAGTTTCTTGCCACCTTGGAGGTCGAGAAAACGGGGTACGATCACATGGTGAAAACGATGAAGTTCCGGTTTGACAATAAAAGCTACACCATCGACTCGAAGACATTGGAGAAGGACATTTATCAAGCATCGGAGGACCCGAATCTCCCTTCATCTTTTAATGCCAATGATGTTTGGAGTTTGATAGTCGAGACTCCAACACATCCCGCCCCGAGATATATTCCCAAGTCTGCGACTTCGATACGCAACCCGGTATTGCGGTTCTTACAGAAGGCGGTGGGGAGTATGATCTTTGCGAGAGGAGAGATGGGTGGTTGTTCTCTCCGAGAGCTCACGGCTATCTGGTGTATGTTGACGAGTAGTCCCGGACTCACCGGGAAGTGGGTCGGTACACATTTGTGGGAGGCGGCGATAGCTGAGTCGGGATTTGTGTGCGTGGGTGGCATGATCACGCCCATTGCTATTTATTGTGGAATTGATTTGACGACTAAGGCCCCAGTGAGTGACACGCCATTGATCAATATGGCGGCATTGAAGGCGATGAATTTTGTCCGACAGAATGGTGGCCGTTATTCGTTTCGCCAGAGGGCTCAGGACCATTTTCCACTGCCGAATACTCAGTTCACCACGGTTGATAGTGACGATGACGTGGTGAACATTAAGATGTGGAGTGATGCACACTCGACGGTGATAAATGAGGTGCAAGCGACATTTGGCCAGTCGGTTGGGGGCATGCGTAGGAATGTCCGACCTGGCGTAGAGTTGCACCCGAGCGTGGAGGAGGAGAATGAGTACGAGCGAGGCGGAGACATTCTGATGGATATCCCGGAGAGCTCCAATCAAGGAGCGGAGAGGCCTGTTTTTCCCCCTCCCTTGAGCTTAGACGATCGTATGACGAGTTTGGAGGCCGAGATGAGAGGTGTGCGAGCAGATCAGAGAGAGATGATGGCGATGATTCGCCAGATGCACCAGTGGCACATGGACGAGGGCCATTTTGGCCCGCCGCCTCAGCGAGGTTTTGTGAGTGTTTCTTGATCCTTTGCTATGAATTTCTATTCTCTCCTTGTGT